CGTAGTCGACCGCGGTTCGTGTCCCAGACCCGGTGGCTTAAAACTCACGCCGGGCACGTGTGCGTGCGTGCCCAAGATCCCGAGAGGAGAATGGAGGAGAAGGGATTGCGGCGTGACCATCCCCCCTGGGGAGTGATTTCTCGCTTTCTGTCTCTATGTCTCTCTCTGTCTGTCTGGCGAGCGCACGCGCCCTACAGTGAAAATCTCTCCAAAAAAAAAAAAAAAAAGAGGGGGCTTCAAAAAGTGTGTGGAAAAGGGACCAGCAGTTAGCGTAATGGCTATGTTGCTAGACTCCCATGTAGTCGACCGCGGTTCAAGCCCCAGACCTAGTGGCTTAAATTCAGGCCGGGCACGTGTGCGTGCATGCCCAAGATGCCAAGAGGAGAATGGAGGAGAAGGGATTGCGTGTGTGCCCAAGATCCCAAGAGGAGAATGGAGGAGAAGGGATGAATAAATAAATAAATTGTTTTTAAATCCATGCATAGATTTTTTCATACACATTTTCTACAAACTTTTTGAAGATACCCTTGTAAACATCTCTGTGTTTGAGAGTAAAGGGAAAGCCCTCAACCAACCAATGGGGAATTGGTGGACAATTCGCTGGGTCTCCTCTTGGACTCCAGTAGGCCGGTTACAAGGCAGGGTCCAGGAGTTATGTCAGGGAGTCCCCAGTGGTACTGAATTCCAATGGGGAATTGGTGGACAATTCGCTGGGTCTCCTCCTGGACTCCAGTAGGCCGGTTATGAGGCGGGGTCCAGGAGTTATGTCAGGGAGTCCCCAGTGGTACTGAATTCACAGCAATAACTCGGTAAATACTCAACAGTTTGTCTTTCTTCTCTGCTTCTTTCCCCTGCCTCCTTGGGATCACCCACAAATAACTTCCCTGCACCCACGTGCCAATCTCAGGCTCTGCTTTGGGAGAAACCCTAAGTAGGTTGTCCTACTATTGTAAGGAAATTCAGAATTCAGACAAAGAAAAGCATTCACAATAACCACAGCTACTTCCTTCTTTTCAATCCAACCATTCCAGGTAACAGCCGATGACACCGATACACAGGCCTTCGAGATGTTCCCGGACAAACACTGACATTCTAATACAAGTTACAGAGAGAAAACCAGACGCTAAACAGCAGCCTTTGAAGCTACACTCTTCTGATGACAGCAAACAGCCTCCTGACCTCTGCTAGTGGAGATTGCTTGGAACATGTTTAATTTCTATAAATAATAAATGAGGAGGCTCTAATTCTAGCTGTCGGTGGAAAAGCGCACCATGCGGGCCCTTCATCCAGCTTCTGATGGTCCTGTCAGCTTTGGCTTCTCCTTGTGGCATTTCCATCTTGGCCTTGGACCACTCCGCTGATTCCATCGGGCTCCCTTCCCTCCACTCAGTCCTTCAGGCTGTCGCTCCTCAGCAGTCCGTCTAGAGGCACATCCCCACACGCTATCTGCATTTCTAGACCTTGCCTGCAATTTCCAGGCTAGCAGCCACCACCCACATGTCACCTTCAGGGTCCCTCTGTCTTGTTTTTTTTTTTTTTTTCTTGGAGAGGTTTTTGCTATAGGGCATGTGCGCTTGCCAAACAGAGAGAGACAGAGAGACAGAAAGTGAGAAATCAACCCCCAGGGGGAATGGCCACACCACAATCCCTTCTCCTCCATTCTCCTCTCGGGATCTTGGGCACACATGCTCATACGCCCGGCGTGAGTTTAAGCCACCAGGTCCGGGACTCGAACTGCAGTGGACTACATGGGAGTCCAGCGACATAGCCATTATGCTAACTGCTGGTTCCTGGGTCCCTCTGTCTTGAGCTCAGATTCCCGATCTCCTCCAGAGCCATCCATGTGCAAATGACAAATTCAACCTCATACTGGACAACTCCACCCTCACTCACCAAATCCACTTTCCCCCCAAATTCCCTGGGCAATGCTTCCCCCCCACCACCCTTGTCTCCCAACCTGGACTTCAAGGTCATACTCAGTCCCGTTGTCTCTACCAGTTTCTAGAATAGCAAGAGGCCGTCTCCTAGGTGGGTGGAGTGTTTCTTCTTTTCCCTGCTGTTACATATTTTCTAAATGTCCTTGGATGAACATAATTTGCATAGTGTTTATTACGCTTCGTAATTACTAATAGGTTTCATAATGGTTTATTATCCTAAGTATAAATCTACTCTGATTCCTCCAGTGTTTCCCCATTCCTGGGGCCCTTTTCACCAGTTCCATACCTCCCCTCCAGTCTCGGCCCTTGGGACCCTTTCCACATCACCACTAGTCCGTCTCTCTAAAACCTGAGCCTTGTTTTCTCAAACATGTCTTTGCAAGGACCTCCCACCACCTTCGCCTCCTAGCTCCCAAACACAGAGTCACCTGGAGGTGTTTGCTTCCTTGCGTGCTTTTTTCTTTAGCTTCTTCATTATACTGCCATGGCCTGTGCATACCACATACCCGGGGCCTGGCGCAAGAGCAAGTGTTCAGCAAACACGAATTACGTGGATGGAGGGAAGGGAGTTCAGAAGCCGGTTTAAGGTAAGGGCATGAGGCTTCTGCATCTCCAGGGAACTAGTTCAAAATGCAGATTCTGGGACCCCATCTCAGATCTACAGAATCCAAAATTCTGCAGGCATTGGAACGAGCATGTGAGGAGTTTCTGCTCTGGAACAAGGTTATGTTCCAGACATTTCTTGGCCATGGTGCCCAAGTGAACTACAATCAACCTTGGCAGCTAGTTGGAAAACCCACTGGAAAGCATTCAGTCAGCGGCTCTGTTTGAAAATGTCACCTCTAGGTTGCAAAATGTAGCTCCTTCCCAGGATTAGAAAGGGGGACTGCAAGGACCAGCAGTTGGCATAATGGCTATGTCACTGGACTCCCACGTGGTTGACCGCGGTTCAAGTCCCAGACCTGGTGGCTTAAACTCACGCCGGTTGCATGTGTGAGTGTGTGTGCCCAAGATCCCGAGAGGAGAACAGAGGAGAAGAGATTGCGGCGTGGCCATCCCCCCTGGGGGGTGATTTCTCCCTTTCTGTCTCTTTGTCTCTCTCTGTCTCTCTGGCAAGTGCACACGCCCTATAGCAAAAACTGCTCAAGAAAAAAAAAGAAGAAAGAAAGAAAAAAAGAAAAGAAAGGGAGATTACAACTAGCAGCCATCCACCACGGCTGTCCTTTCATCCCAGGCGCTCCAGAACTGAGCACAGATTGCGATTTTAAAAGACGCCGTTCCCTGTCTTTCTCCTTTCTATCAGAGACACGGATGGACCACCGGAAAGGGAGAAGTTGAGGGCCCGGGAATGGGAGGTGAGGGCGACCCCAGGTCCCAGGCAGGGAGGCCGCGATGCGGGCGCAGGTGAGGGCCCCGCGGTGGGCCTCGGCGAGGCGCCCTCTCTCCCTGCAGCTCGGTGTGCGGTCTGTCAAGGGGATCGGCTGTGCCTTTGCAGGGACGCTCTTGAGCACCAGCCGGCGCCCCCCAACACAAACGGCTTCCCGGGGGCGGCAGCCC